TTAAATATTTATAGTTTATTTAAATGACAGCTACAGTATTTTAATTATACACAGTTTAAAAACTGCTATGATGTTTAGTATCACTTTAGGTCTACACATGTAGCGGAATGACAATAAAGTCCAACTTGAACTTCCACTTGACTAAAAGCAACTGAAATATGCAAAAAAAGACCTTCATCATATATAATCACTATTACAAGCATAAAAATTATCGTTCAATTTCTTTTACATTATATTCATCAATCAATCTTGAAGACAAACAAAAATGTCATAATATAATGTTGCATTTTTAATTGAATGGAGAGGAAATCAAATTGTCCATTAGTATTAAGAATATTCTATTGATCATACAGTATCTAATTCATTTAAGAAATAAATGTACAGTGGAAAATATAAATATAATAGTAATGGCAGGTAAATTGGTGTAATGCTTCTTGCATCTCAAGAAAAGTGAGACATTTAAAATTAAATGAAAATAATTCAATTTCTGCATAGACATTATACTCTCAAATATAAATTGCACTCCGAATTACCTTAATCAGACTCCATTTACTCATTTATTAATGAAAAAGCCAGTCAACCATTATCAAGGACCCTCAGTCAGTCTGTCCTGCTTTCCCTTTTCTCCCTCAATCTATATTCAGCTTATGGCAATGGCACCATCATTATAATATCAAACGGCTGACTACTTTCACCAATTTAGCAATTTTCTTACACTGCTTTACAAACATGAAAAAATAGTTACTGTTTTGCAAAGCAAACTGTTAAATTTTCAAATAGTTTTCAGTATATATATAAAAACAGCCATGATCATAACAAAAGGTATAATGTATATAAAAAAAGGTGTATCAGCAAATACATTAAAATATGTATTTGTAAAATATGTAATAATAATTGCAGTTTAAAAATTTACACTTACTTAAAGAGGTACTAACTCCCAGTGCTGTTAATATATTGAAGTTACTATTTAGCCACATCATGTTGGTGTTTTGTAACATCTTTTTTATAAGGTGGGTCGTTAGCCCAACGGTTAACCCCCCTACAGGGAGCACCAGGACTTACAGTGCGGACAATTTAGCTTATTATAATTTTTAAGCATATATTTAGGCCGGGATTTGAATATAGACTCATACGCACCTTGGAGATGAAGTCATATCAAGATTGTTTTAATTTTGTTATTGAGTCAAGAGATAATTCTTTGAGATCATAACTCTCAATGAGACATAATATAAAGCTGACTCTTTCACTCACCATTTGTAGCATCCTCTCTGCTGTCAGTGTGTTGTTCACAGGCTCACCGGTGCTGAGAGGTAACAGCAGCTACAACACTGAGTGTAATCAATGAGCTCATTAACAAAATCACCTAAACTGCTCTCTCCATCATGGGCACGTTGAAACTGCAGCTACTAGAATTAACTACAATACACAAATGTATACTGCTGCTGGCACAACAATTATTTTCAGAGCATTTTTTAAAGCATAGACACAAGAAAAAATTCAACTAGTTTATCTCAATTGTGAGTGCTAGGCTAAATTTGGAGTTACAAGCACTGGTTGTTCCAATCCATTGCTGTTGATTTTTCAAGTAGCCTATTTGATTGTCATTATCCTTATTATACACAGTATTATGGGGACAGATTTTTTCAAACTCAAAGTATATGTTTACGATGTAAAGTAAAGATATGTAAAAATGTCAGTAAAATATATAAAAAATTCTACATTCAAATTGGTAAATTTCTTGAATTTAAAAAGGAAGTTGTCTGTGGCAAAGTGCGGAGGTTGCTAACTCAAAGTATTCACAAATTAACAAAAAATAAATACAGAAACATTAGTCAGTTAGTGAGAATTTGTTTTGTATTAATCCAAAATAAATCCATAATTAAAAGGCTCCAGTTTTGATGTAAAATAAGCCCTTTGTGTTCAGAATGTGTCTAAAGTTTCAGGACAAAATACCCATCACATCATTTATTATACCCCACTGAAAATGTACATTTTTTAGATCAGAGGGAAGTGTGCCAGTGCCAGTGCCTTTAAATGAAAATGAGCTGGTTCTCCCTGCCCACCCTCTGCTGACATTTTATTTCAGGATAACCAGAGCTGGATGTCACGATAAACACAACAAAAAGACAGAAAGCAACTCAGACACAATGGAACAGAGACCAACAGTCATAAATACCCAACACAATATGAATTCGTACGATCTAATTCGTACAATTTAGTACGATTTGCTTATCCCCCAATGACGGTTGGGGTTAGGGGTGGGGTCAGGTGCCACGCCTCCTTTTTAAAATCGTACCATTTCGTACGACTGAACTCGTACGAATTCGTACGAATTAGCCACTAAACTGGCAAAACGTAAAATACTTACGTTTTCTCGTGAGATCAGGCTGAAATACCACAGCAAGATGAACAAATCACAAAAATGACATTATTATAAGTTTGTTTGTGTTTTTAAAAAGATGTGCTGTTTTTGCTACTTGCGCCAAATGTGACAGGATGCCCTCCCACTTACCAGGTAAATATGCTGCTGTATATAAATCTATCATAGCTATAAGTAACTGTCAGTGACAGATTTAAAAAATAAGCAAGATAAGCGGCCACTTAGGGACCCAGGAAATCTGAAGGCCCCCAAATAAATACATAGAAGTATATATGATATTATAAATTAGATGAAGTCAGAATTATTAAATCCCCTGAATTATATGCACCCTTTTATTTTTCCCCCGCAATTTCTGTTTAACAGAGATTTTTTCAACACATTTCTAAACATAATAGTTTTAAAAACTCATTTGCAACCACTGATTTATTTTATTTTTGCCATGATGACAGTAAATAATATTTTACAAGTTATTTTTCAAGACACTTCTATACAGCTTAAAGTGACGAAGGCTTAACTAGGTTGATTAGGTTAGGTTAGCGTAATTAGGAAAGTTATCGTATAATGATGGTTTGTTCTGTAGACTATCGAAATATAGCTTAAAATGGCTAATAATTTTGACCTTAAAAATGGTTTTTAAAAAATAAAAGCTGATTTTATTCATGCTGAAATAAAACAAACAAGACTTTCTCCAAAAGAAAAAAAATATTATCAGACCATAAAAATTTCCTTGCTCTGTTAAACATTATTTGGGAATTATAAAAAATAAATAAATAAAATTGGTAACACTTTACAATAAGGTTCATTAGTTAATGCGTTTACTAACATGAACAACACATGTACAGCATTTATTAATCATAATTGAACATTTACTAATGCATTATTAACATCCGAGTCCATGCTTGTTAACATTAGTTAATGCACCATGAGTAAACATGAACTAACAATGAACTACTGTATTTTCATTAACTAACGTTAACTAACATGAAACAAATACAGTAGTAAATGTATTGTTCATTGTTTGTTCATGTTAGTAAATCCATTAATTAACATTAACTAATGAACCTTATTGTAAAGTGTGACCATAAAATTCAAAGGGGGGCTGATAAATCTAACAAGTTCTAAAAATTCTGAATTCAACTGTATATAACATTGTTTTCTATCATATTTTGTGAAGTGAGGGTCTTAATTTCTCATTTTAATGTAATTATTACATCTGCTAAATGTGTTCCCCACCTTTATTTATGAACCAGTCCAAAAAAAGCGATTTTTTTATGTTTAGTTGTGAATTCATCTTAAGAAAACAAATCATTTCTAAAGTTTCACAAAGTACTTTACATGTTATTATTATTTTGCATTAAGATAAAATATAGAAAATAAGATCGAATGATGAACTTTTGGGCCGCTTGGCTGGAATTGTTTAGGGCCCCAAAATCACTAACTCTGCCCAGTGTGTAAATAAACTGGGACTCCTTTAATATATGTTTTAATGCATGCTTTCTAGTATGATTAACACTTTGGTAACAGGCATACTATTAATATTTTAGCTCATTTCAACCATTAAAGCATAATTACTCATTTCTGAGATATTTAGAATAAATACTTAATAAATCTGATATTAATTATTAAAGCTGAAATTGGATGGTGATGAATTACATCAGCCTTTGTCGTTGTAGTGAAAAAAAGCTTGGGCCCAGTAGGCCTAATCAGTCTGGCAAACAATCATGGTTACTAAACTTTACCGCTAATAAAATCATGGTTAATTTTCACAAGGGAAGACAATATAATGCAACATGAAAATAAACATTAAACTAGTAGCTAAGTAAATAGTAACGTGTATTTATAAAGCGCATTTATCGTGTATGGCCATACACCCAAGGAGCTTCACAATCATAAGAAGTGGTCTCCACTCCACCACCAGTGTGCAGCATCCACTTGGATGATACGATGGCAGCCACAGGACAATTTCCCCAGTGCACTCACCACACACCAGCTATAGATGGAACGGAGAGACTGAGAGAGCCAATTCGGTGGATGGGTAAGGGAATTTGGCCAGGACACCGGTGTTACATCTCTACTCTTTAAGCGAAGTGCCATCAGAATTTTAATGACCACTGAGAGTCAGGAACTCATTTAATAACAACATTAATAAATTAAACTAAAACGAATTTAGGCGAGGCAGTGGCGCAGTAGGTAGTGCTGTCGCCTCACAGCAAGAAGGTCAGTGGGTCGCTGGTTTGAACCTCGGCTCAGTTGGCGTTTCTGTGTGGAGTTTGCATGTTCTCCCTGCCTTTGCGTGGGTTTCCTCCAGGTGCTCCGGTTTCCCCCACAGTCCAATGACATGTGGTGGTGAATTGGGTAGGCTAAATTGTCCGTAGTGTATGAGTGTGTGTAAATGTGTGTGTGGATGGTTCCCAGAGATGGGTTGCAGCTAGAAGGGCATCCGCTGCGTAAAAAGCTGCTGGATAAGTTGGCGGTTCATTCCATTGTAGCGATTAATAAAGGGACTAAGCCGACAAGAAAATGAATGAATGAATGAATGAAAACGAATTTAGGGCTGCAAATTTAAGAGGCAAACAAAAATGGTCTTGTCATTCACACAATGATACACACACACAGACAGTCATTTATAGATATATACTTTATTAATTCTCTCTGGTAAAATAAAATTACAAAATAATTTCAACCTCAAACGGCACCTCCCTTATCTATAATTAATATCAATAAAATCATTATTTATACAGCAATCATAATTTCCAATGACGAATGAGAAGAATGCTATCTTATAATCTTATAATAAATATGAGCTATAACTGCGTTAGTAATTATTAATGGTAAAAAACTGAGCGATACAAAGCTAAGTTTTCAGTAATAGCATACTGTACAATATTCCAAGAGGATGTAACTCAGTATTCCGGCCACAGGATGTCACTATTAGTCAGTTTTCAAAATGGTCTCTCCTTCAAAATGGGGTCAGAAGTAAAATAGTCTCTTATTTCAACGCCATTATAACAGAAGCAATTCCACTAAGAAAATGACTATAATCACTCATTCTACAGTTATTTCAGTGTGAGCAGCTGTTCCACCTTGATGGGGTGGTTTTTATAATTTATCGACTGGCTTCAGCGTCGCTCCTCCAAATAATGCTTCTTTCAAATGGCTGTTAGTCTCTTGCAGACTGTAAAAAAGGTGCTGTCCAGATCTCCAGATCATAACATTCTCAGCTGCTGATTATTTATACTCTCTATAACCACTCCCACCCTCCTCTCCTAGGTTTACAACACACACCATTCCAGTCAACTATAGACAGAGAGCACTTTGGTAGCAAAGACGGAGTCAGAGAAAGTGTAAGTAAGAGTCCATGCATGTTAACATGTCTGAGTTAGTTAGTCTTCTAAAATCAATACATTCATGGTAACAGTAGAGGACGTCCGTCTTGTGGACTATAGGAAATATGGCAGTTTTGTCATCATAGAGGTTTTGTGCAAATGTTAGCATCTCCTCCATCTCTGTGAGATACTCAAGCTGCGCAATGCTCATAGTTACAGTGCATCGTATGCGTGTGAATGTTTATGTTATTTCTCTGCTTTCGCTAATTGTCCGTCTTGCAGCCCAGGAGGGAACATCCTGCACCGGCACTCTCAACAACTGGAGCTGCTGGTGTTGGGACTGTCCTCTGCGGGCTGAGTTGAGGGGATGGAGCCTGAGCCGGAGGGGGGGTTGGCTAGAGGCAGGCTGGCAGCAGTGGGTGAGAGCGCGGAGGGCACAGTGGGGCTCAGAACCTTGGCATCACGCTCACGCAGCAGTTGAACGAGCGCCGCATGCTGGGAGCTGAGCGTGGCCGACAAGTGAGCGGGCAGAGCATTAAAGCCGGCCGTCAAACGCTCCACCCGCTGCTCCAGACTCAACATCTGCCTCTCCAGATCCTCACTTCGGTCGTTCAGCTCTGACATCAGTTCATACATGACGCTCTGCATCTGTGTAGAGAGAGAAGGATAGATAAATGAAAAACTTTGGTGGTAAGCATGCTGTAGCCAGCAGGGGTGGATTTATTGATTTAAGGGCCCTAAGCAATTCCAACCAAGGGTCCAAGCAATCTTAAATTTCAGCCTTTGTACTTTTATTTATTTTCTGTTTACTTATATTGCTGTTTTTTCTCTCTTCTTTTCTGTGTTTTATGTTATTGCAATCTCTACATTTTAAAATATTTGTTTCCTTAAAAAAAAACAACGTTATATTAGATGGGTATTATTATCTCCAGGTATTTATTTGGGGCCCCCAGATTTCCTGGGACCCTAAGCAACCGTTTACCTCACTTATTGGGTAAATCTGCCCCTGGTAACCAGCTATACTGGTGATCAAAATTATTATATCACCTTAAAGATCTGAAAATATTGAACATTTTTGCCCATAATTGGCCCATTTGATTCTTGTGACCGTTTTTATGTAACTAGCTAATTATTTATATGTGCCTGCCTTTAAGCAATATACGGACTCCACTCTCCCTGCACTCCTTTTTGTAAATCGATAATAAACAGGCTAACAATGGTGCTTTTTATTTTCTACAATTGGAGCAATCCTGGCATGTAGTCTGCTGTGAGTTTGGATGTAAATATAAAGGCTAACAGGTGTCTTTACACAGAACCCCAGCTTTTAGGCAACAGCAAAATGGTTTAGTTTGGTTGTGTGTGCTATTTTATTTTTTTACTTTTTATACATAATTTGTGTTTGTTTGTTTGATTACCGTTAGCAAACGGCAACTTAATTTCACTCATGTTTAGAAGGAGGTAATCTTCCTGTCGTGCAGAGCTGTGTATGTTATTAATGGGTAGTTTTTAGGTTTTATGGTAACCAGCATATTTTCATATACAGATGTTTGTTTAAATAGATTTAACAATGATAATGGTATCTGTAATTTCAATCCATAATAAATTATATGCACAGGACACAGCCTGGGGTGATCTTGCATTTTGTCACTTGGAAACAACTTAAAATATACATTCAGACAAACATATGCATGACTTTATAAAGTAATTTGGACATTAATAAAGAGGGGAAATGAAGGCTGGTAGTGGTGAAACAAATCACAACTCTCACTGTTCGGATCACATTATGTTTTTTTTTTAGTCACGGATCAGACCATTTTTCAGATTAGCCAAAAAAGGGAGGAGACAAATCACAATTGTGATTGTAATCTTTACCATAATATCAGTGGTTTTATATAAACTATAAAATGTTATCCCAGTACTTCTGTGTTATTTGTCTGTTTTATATGACTAAAGACTCTTTCTTGATTTTTTGTATTTTTCAAACACAGATTTGAATGCAGCAATTCAAAGGATTAATAAACTTATGCAAACCTCCTTCATTTATAATTTTTGTTGCGTGGGTGTTGAGATCCTGATCTTTGAATAATTAATCGTGCAGCTTACACTGAATGCATTACTGCAGGCTAAACAGGTGGTTAAAGAAAACACCTTTAATAACCTAAGAAACCCACCACATCCTATAACTTAACATACCCCAACTTCTTCCGTCATTATATTTTACAGGAAAGCCTAAAAGCTTTCATACATGCGATTTGAATTGAAGTGAGAGATGATCTCTCTGCTATCGTTACAAATTTAAGATTAATCTTCAAGTAAAAAAAAAGTATTAATCCATGAGGTGAATTTGTGAAGGGGGCAGGGGGTGGGCAAATTAAAAGATCATCAGGATATTATAAAATTATCAAATGCTATCAAAATAGTACAATATTAACCCTTGTACAACAAATCTAAAGGCCAGCATGAAGGCGATGCTGTAGGGCTGTGCGATATGGCAAAAATGAAATCTTGATAATTATTTTCCATACTGAACGATAACGATAAATATTTCTATATAAGTTGTTAATACTTCCAGATTTAAAAGAGAACCCCAACAATCACTGAAGCCACAAAAATTAGAGGGTCCATTAAATGAACCCTCATAAATTTTTGGTGACTGAAAATTTGGCAAATCATTTTCATTGTTGCACATTTCTGCTGTTTGATTGCCACTTAGATCAATATAGAGTAAAAATGTTGAGCGCTTGTCATTGTTATTGACATAAATTTTATCGCGATTCGATATAATATCGTTTATCGATCCGATTATATAGAACAAAAGTTGCCATTCACCATTAATACATCAATTCTTTTTAATGTAAACAATTACAATATAAAATGTGTTAATATATTGCTGTTTTAAACCCTGGCCATGGCCATGTAGTAAGTTGAAGGGAGGGATGCAGGAAAGAGAGCACAGATACTGTACAGGACTGAAGAAAGATGAAACAGAAACACTACAGATGATAAATGGAGCAATAAATGCCCATAGGAAATCAAAATCTCAAATGAGATCTCTTTAAAGTCAACATGGTGTACACAATCCAATTTACTTCTTGATGTGATATAATTCAGGGGACAGGATTTCAGCAGCAAAGGAAAAATGTTGGACGTCACCATGAAGTAGTACTTTTTTAACAGTCTTGTAGTCTGTAGTTTACAGCAGCGGCAGCAACCAACAACAGTCAATTCTCAATAGATAAAATCTAAAAAAAAGTGTCACTCTAAATGTTTCTTGTTCGAAAATCCATCTCACTCGTACTGTATTTCACAATAGGGAAGAAAAGAATAGAACAGCTTTTGTTTCATGATACCATTAAGAATGAACTCAAACCAAAATTTGTAATAATCTTAAAGTTCATGCCACAACTACAATGACATAAACAGAATGTTACAATCAAACAGTTTGGACTCGATCTTTATTATATTGATTTTTATACTTTTTAAGGGGATCAAGAATCCACAATAAAATATACAGCCCAAAATAAAAATAATAATATTGTTTTTAAATCCCTTTCAGAATATTTTTTTTTCTAGCTCATTAATCCTATAAATGGTGAACAAACAGAATGTCAGAATCCAGATGATTTTAAAGATAATTTATTTCAGGTATGACATAACATACTGTACACTTCTGTTCACAATTGTTTAGCACAGATGATTCAAAGTTTGTTGAATGCATGTGTACTCTGTGACTTCATTGTGCACTGGTGTGGGCATTAATATAGATATTGTGATCGTTATGGTTACCTTTACAGTCATAGTTCTTGTCATGAACAGGCTTTCATCCATCAAAAATTGATTGGATTGTGAATAGTGGGCATTGCATTCCATTCCAAAGCTGTGATTTGGCTATTGCTTAGCATTATTCAATTGAGACATGAACAGGAATGGAAAGCAGTGGAAGAGCAAGTTATTACATTCTGATAAAAGATTATGATGACAAACAATTTTCTGAATGAATCGCACTAGGACCAGGAATGTGCATTAAGTAAATAGGGTCAATTTTGATCTCATCTCGACTTTAACATCTCTGTTGGTCTGGCTAGACGGCAATAAAAATTAAATAGAGATTAAATTGAGTCTTCTGCTTGAGTCTACATCTTCTCCAATTTTTTTCTTATGAGGAAAATCAACTCCAGCAATCTCTCTCTCTTCATTTTTAGTTTCTCAGTGAGATTCAAGTCAGTCATCTGAATTACACAATCCCCATTAGGCTAATTTTATAGCTTTTCATTCCAGTTGTTTCATTTGATCCTTCTCGCTTTTTTTTTTTTTTTTTTTTGGAAAGATTCTGACAGTCAGATGGCCCAAATTGTCTTTTGGGTAAGGAGAACTAACATCAGTCTAGAAATAGAGATTTGAAATAATAAGAAAAACAGAACAATGCATAGTCAGTAAAACATTTTCTTAATCTGTTTAGGTGTTGTTTTTAACAATTATTCAAATTAGGAAAAAGTTCTTCAGAATACAAAAGAAGATACAGATTACTATTGCATTAGCTATTTAGTTATGCTTTCATGCATCCAAGGTCTCAAACTATTTTTTTTGAAGATGCATTCTTTATAACCCTCTCCCCTGCTCTTCTCTAGTTGGTCAGGTGGCCCAGTCTTTTGTGATTGGCAAACTGCTGACGGCATGTGTTGGAAACAAAATGCCAATTATCATGACCTTTAGCTCTGGAGTTTTTTCAGTCTTCAGCAATTGTAGGACAGTAACAATGAAATATTAATATAAATTTATGCTGAATTTTAAAGTTGAAACAATGGAAGAGCTGCTTGATCCTGCTTGAAGAGCTCAATCCAAACCTCTAGATCAAATATGATTTAAGCAGAATTTAACTTTTAAAAATTAAATATAATATTAATAATAAATACCCTACAATTTCAAGATAAAGGGGTCAAAAATACCATGGCGCAGTTTAACTAAATCTCGTACAACTGTTGCAACTTAAAGAGTAAATGAAGGCTGACAATTTGCAGCATTACATTTAGATCTGCACATTGCGTCAGATTTATTTTCACTTTCTTTTTTGCAGCCTGAGAATAATAAAACAACAATACATTTTTCAAGACATGATGGTGACAATGCAAACCAACTGAAATCTTTGAGGGCAGGTGAAAGTAGGCATTGTTTACAGACAGCCTGGAATATATAAGAATTTATACAAAAATACACAACAGTTCTGTCTGGTTTTTTAATCAAATTGGCTAATATCTGTGTGATATTCTGCAGTATCAGAACTAGTACAGCCTCATTACTCGTGTGTATTACTCTGCCCACATACAGTGACAGCAGATGAATAAACTCACTACAGTTTGACAAATAATGCGGCTGTTGGACAACATATAGTACTTTTGAGGCTTATTTAGGGGAGAATGTAGTTGTTTAGATTGAAACTAATACAGTACCTTTTATAAATATGTATAATTTCAGAGATACAGTGCGTCGACATTCATCAGCCTGTAATGAGCAGAGCAAAGACAGTTGACGTTGTCTATTCACAAGATGGCGTCAGAGACCGCATAATAGGCCTTTAGAGGAGAAAAAGTCAAATGCGTAATTTCAAACTACAGCTGATCAAATCAATATAAAACATGTAAATGTCATTTAAAGTTGATCTCTCTCTCTTTTGTATGTTGTAGTGCTGTATTTATATCACAGTAATTGTAATGTATTGAGTATGAGATGGGACTCACATATCAGGAATGCATGTATTTAATGTTGGCCACTGTTTGTATAACCCTGAGTTACTTTTCGTTGGCCATCTGTTTGTTTCTAATGAGTTCCCTGTTTTCAATACTGTAGACTACTTTAGTAAAAAGAAAAGAGAAATGCCTGCATGTGTTTAGCGTTTTTCCTTATCACAATCACAACAGTAATCTAGTAGTGTTTGCGTTGCGTTGGCTTTTTCTTGGTTAATTTTTGTGATCTCCCTTTTGCAACAGATAAATTAATCTCAGTAGACGGATAGCATTTCAAGTCGTTCAGTCTTATAATCTTAAAATGTGAGCAAAATCATCTGTTTTGTCATCACTTTAGACATTATGCAGGAGAATTATTGAAATACTAGCTCTAAAGTGACGTTGGTGAATTAGTGAAGGTGTCTGCTGTTCAGATGTCAGCTGCAGATGTGAAGGAATGGCAGAAGAAAGTATAGTGCCTCATATAAATGGATTTTTAGACTGTCCGTGTTTAATTTTCTTTTTTATACACACAATTGTGCCAACAAACTGTTGTATAAACGCAACGTCACAATCGTAGCATTGATATATGCCTGTAAATAGTCACTGGTGGGACATTAAGACATAAAACATTAAATATTTAAAATAGGCACTATTTTAGGGTGAGGTGGGTGTAGAGGCTGTACGAGTGCTGTTATTTGTTTGTGTGTGTGTGTGCGTGTGTGTGTGTGTGTGTGTGTGTGTGTGTGTGTGTGTGTATGTGTGTATATATAGTGATTTAAGTGAAACTAGGATTAGGTACTGAAACCCAATGACATTAGTTTTTTTATTAGGTTGTTTATTCCTGGTCACTTGATGTATTTTTTTCTGATGAGATGACTACTCGATCATGATAAATGCAAGTGTAAACTCCCTTCGAAATGCATCTGAGAGAGATATAAATCCAATCACTCAAACTACTTCATAACCTGGCCTTGGACACATTCAGACAAAACTGTAGAGGTATTTTTGAATTATTAGGGCCAAACAGAATCTACAGATATTTTAGCTATTTCTGCGAAGAATTTTGTAAAAAAATCTGTGGATTTTTTGGAGAATGATTTTGGGATTATCATAACTAAAAATAATATATAAAATATAAACTTTGGAATTATTGTTAAACCTCTATATTGTATGAGCAACAGCATGATATTTCTAATTGCACATACTCTACAATGTATCAGCAGCTTGCATATGCACTTTGAGTTAGTTATTCACTATTTACTTTGACCACTGAAGTGGGTATTTGTTTTATTCATAGTCAGAGAAGAAATGAAAAGACAGAAAAACAACACCACTATTGAAGTCAGAAAGTTTGAAACAAGTTGAGGGTGAATAAATAGTAACAGAATTCTCAATTTTTGTTGAGCTATCTTGTTAAAACTTGATGACGTTTCATGAGAGCATCTTAAAGTTTATTTTTCTTGCACTGTTGGCTATTAGTTTTTTTCTGGCTGTAGGCACAAGTCTATTTTTTACACATTACTAAAAAGCAGAACGCAAACACTAAAAATTGGTGATTTTATTATTTTTTTTGCAGGAAAGTTTTGTTAAATAAAGGGACAGAACATTCAAATTAAAATTATTAAAACGATTTGTAACTAAGTTACAAACTGGGAGGAGAGAAATAAAATACTGAGCAACCCAAATGTATTTACTGTATTATAATACGCTCACAATATGCTTTGATTTTTACCTAATTATCCCAACGACACTCGTTTAGCGATTTATTTGTTCCCAAATCCTTCCTTAGCACTATGCTAATCTGCACTGATTGGTCCGATGACCCAGTCTATTGCAATTAGTCGACTGCGTTCAGCGCGAGACAGAAAGAAATGCCCACCACAGCTTATCAACAATTTTGAAGAAGTCAGAGTATATGTGTGAGCCCAATTCAGGAGTGCTTTAAAGCATTGCAGTTTAACACCAGCATATTGCTCTATTCTTAACCAAATAAAAACAGTTGGACACATTTAGTATGAATCCACACAGTGGCCATAATAACGACAAACGACAAAGGATTGGGAGCTCACAAACACATTTAAATCAGTAAAGAAATTGGCACGCATTTGTAACATGATTTTAGATGCTTTTTTTTTATTTTAATTACATTTAAGTTACTTACACTTGTGAAATGGAGGAAGAACTGAGCCATAAACTGTTTACTGTTAAGTTCCTGTCAAACTCTGACAAATTTCATATATCAATAGTCTTTTCTGATCCTTCCTTTAACAAACGGCCGACGAATCCCCTGTTGTAAGGGTGTAGATTGCTAAAGCACTCATCAGAAAAATTATGGGAACACAGCACAATGCTGGGGCTATAATGCTGAGGTATTTATGCTGAGTGTTTGTGGGCGGAGTTTCAATTTTCACAGATTTGCGCACGCAACAAATTGGCGTGGCTTGAGTTCCGTTTCAAAGTCACGCTAACACTGCTAAAAATTTGTTACCCCGACGATTCAATTAAACCACTCTGAGTCGACACTTTTTTTAGATGAATCAATAGTTTTAAACACGGCACACTCAGATTTAAGCCTTAGCTGGATATTTCTCTTCACTTAGAGCTGTGTTACACACTGCGTGGAAGGTCATTTTCAAAAACCCATAATAGGGGCTCTTAAAATATCAAAGGAAAAAACGGTCTACAGTCCAAGATCACGCACTCCCTTTCACATGCGCATAAAAAGAAATAAAAACCCTAGATACTGTACATTCAGAAAAATGACCAGACACACACACACACACACGCACGCACGCACACTCAGCCATCAGAAGAAAATCTCTTGAATTGCACACATTTTCAATCATTCTTCAGCTTCCTGTCTCTCTCCCCTCCCACCCTCTCCTCGCTCCCACTGTCATCCCTGCTTTAACACTTGTTCAGGTTGCTAGGAGACACAAAGCCACAGAAACAAACGGGTCAGCATGGAAACAGTTGAATGCTGAGATATATTTGGGAAAGCAAAGGTATGTGTGTGTGTGTGTCACCAGGCATTATGTGCTGCCATCGACATACTTGCAGCCTTGGGCATTATAAAGAGTGTGTATGTGTATGTGGGCATGATAAAATTGCAGGAAAGGGAACACAATGTCATTGAAAGTGTGTGTGGGTGTCAACTATTTCCTAACCGATGTAACGTGCATATGTGTGGGCTCTGATGTGCGACCATGTCTGTGATTTGTGTACATGTACAATAGTCTTACCTTTGATAAGTCCACCAATGTATTGGCTTGATCACTGAGTTTTCTCTGCTCCATTTTTACGCTTCGCAATCTACAAAAACAGGGACAAACACACACACACACACACACACACACACGCAACCCATTAGACCTCCTTCTAAGCTCTCTAGCCCTCAATTGTAAACCTCAACTAGCTAATTAACTTAATCAGCTTGTTTTCTTTATTTGTTTGCGGTTGATGAGAATCCCCCAAGATGAATATGCAATTACGGCGTAAATCCTAAAAGCATCAGACTTAAAAGGATTTCATAAGTGTGGGATTTCTTTAAAAGAAAGGCTTTGGTTTTGAAAGGAACCCTTTAAATTGGAGGACAGGCCTTGACAAAACAGTGACAGAAGGATTAGAGTTCTTCAAATGATGAGTATGTGTGTTATGGGCACCCACACAGCAGGAGTGTGTAGCATTCGCATCAGACTTACTGAGCTAACAGGGGAACTACATGCATAATGACAGTTGGAAAAAAAATAAGATGTTCTCTAACTAAACTGCACAATTTTAATTAGGTGACATAACATTTGTTTAAAATGTGTAAATGTTTTGTTAAAATGCAAGAGGGCTCTAACCATATTAGCAATAGTGTGTGCATATTTGATTTGTCCACTGCCTAAGCCACCATTTGGCAGAGGTTTCTTCTTGATTTCAAAAGTATAAATGACTCCAAAATTATATTTTCAAACTAGTTTGGGACAACATAAAAAAAAAAATAAGATTTTGTTCTCTCAGCTCAGTAAACCATAAAATACTAATTAGTCTACTTGTATTAGTTAAATTGTGGCTTCAAATTTGTTCACATGACTTAATTAGTTGCCCTGTTTTAGTAAATTATAGCCATGTTGAACTAATTTGATAATTTTGTTTTAAACAAATTATTACAATATGGGAAAAACTTAGTAAATGTAGGAAACAAATGTATATAGTATTTAATATTTTTGTTTTCACAAAATTACATGACAATTATTATTAAAAAAAAAATTGAGCCGTTTTCCAAACTGTGAAATAAAAAAGACTGAAATTTTTAGGAACATTTTGTTAAAACTTGTAAAAATTCTACCAGAAATGTAAATTTTCACTTAGAAAAAAATGTGACAGGTCTTGACTTAACCCTGCATACACAGGGCATCAACAAAATGTCATGTTGACTTTGTACCACACCGTACCTCAATGTCATGGAGACGTTGGATTTTGTTTGGAAATGAAAATCGGGTTGACATCAGAACCCAACGTCAGGCTGATGTCAATGTCCTTCTTCCAATTTAAAATCAACCAAATATAAACGTGTAATAATGTTATACCTTGATGTTGTGTGGACGTTATCACCATTACATCTATCAGACGTTGGATTGTTGTCACTTTCCAACACAACCTAAAATCAACCAAGGATCAAAGTAATTTGACGTCGTTATTGGACTTCAAAATAATCTTGTCCTTAGATGATAGCTGCGTCTTAAATTGCACACTATACACTATGCACTCATACACTATGTCCTTATGCACATACACACTTAACAGCATAGTATATGACTGTAGTGTCGTCCCAAATGGAGCACTAATGTTTTTTTACTAAGCGGAAATTTAAACCGTTTCCCTAATGGCGTTTGACGGTTGCCAAATCAGTGGAATAAATGACTATAAAAATAATTATCAAATAATACCGTGAGTATAACCGCATTCATCATCGGGAGGCGCTATAATCACTCTCGTAGGAGAATTTTGCTTTCACCATCCAAAATAAATAAAGTTATCCAACCTGTGCGCCCGATAGCTCCGCCCCTTCAGCTACATGAGCAAACCTGCGGCCGTTGAGTGCGTGAAGTGTCCATCATTCCACACTTTTTTTTTACCGGCTGAATGAGAGAATCATCCGGGTAATTAAAGTGCACTTATTATTTTTAGAGTTTTCAGTGTGAATGTACTAATTACACAATTTATACTACAAAAAGGCGGAAAATAGTGCATAAGTATGCGATTTGGGACGCAGCTGCTGTCTAGACCAGGGGTGGCCAACCCTGTTCCTGGAGAGCCACCTTCTAAACACACCTGAACCAATTAATTGGGACCTGAACACCACCTGATAATTACAGGCAGGTGTGTTTGATATGGGTCCCATTTTTTTCACTGTATTTCTGGTTTTATTTCAGGGACAGATGATGTACGTTTCTGGTAGAATGTGCCATATAGGTAACTTTAATGACAACTACACAACAACAGTGGTTATATTGTTTGTTGCTTTAAAACATTTCAAACTTCTGATGTGCTGCAAATGTTTTATTATTATTATTATTATTATTAATTATCAGATATAAAGAAATTATAATTGTTGTGTGGACATTTTTCTCATAAAATGTGAACAGCCCATTACAATGTTTGCTACATGAATGTGCAGTAAGATGTATACTTCAGTATTTTCGACTTATATAAGTCCCAACAAAAAAAAAAAGTAAATTGTATTTGGATGTTGCAAACTGAATTATATCATAAACCTCAAGTTTAAGTTTCACAGTTCAAGAAGTGACCTAACAAACACAAGAAAGAAACCTGAGCATCGGCATACAGTACTTGAGCATATAAAAAGCTTGAGAAACAGTTAAATGTTGTCAATAAAAGCTGCTGCCTGTTGATGCATTTGTCATGGTTCCTCTTAGGTATTGTCTCTGTGGCCAGGTCAGACATCCTAACTACCCCAATCACACTTAGCGCACAACTAGCCACTCAGCCCAAATGTGAAGCACTTCAAATGCTCTTTGTGCGGTTTTAGCTTACATCGCTAAAGCTCACTTAGCACTTTGGCTGTTCATTTTTCCAAGTGATTTTCTAAAGTGTGTAGATGAGGATTTGAGTGAATTTGCTGTGTACAGATGTGTGTTTGTTTCTCTCACTGGTGAATGGCTTGAAGGAACTTCCTCTGATGTTTGCGCACACGGGAGTGGTCGATTTTCTTCATCAGCTTGGTGTGCTTGTAAATCAGCCAAGTCTCTCTGAGAACATTCGCTGCTGCGTTCTTTATCTGAGGGGACAAGTCACCATAACAACAATATTAACAACAGGAAAAGCACCTTAGGAGAGAGTAATCACAAGTATAAGCTCTGCTTTGCCAATACACGCACACAAGCCTATAAGCTTCTGCCAAATGAAAGGTTCTCTTGGGAGTTTTTCCAGAATGACCTGACAACAGACTTTGCAGCCTATAATTCTGTCATCTGATCAATTCAGAATTCTGGCCTCAGACCAGTGATGTGCAATAAGAAAGGGTCAACTGCAGAGCTGCTACAAAATACTTTTATGCCTTTGTGATAAAGTTTTAAAGGACAAAAGAAGAAAGAAGCTCTTTCACCATCTCAGACAATAGAATGGTGAACAGATAATCAGAGCTTTGTATGCCATATCTATACCATATGAGAAAGCTCAGTTAATTGCAATGTTTTCTAATTAAAATGAGCACAAAGTGAGTTACCAATATTATTGCACTATTTTCTGTAGAATCTTTGCATAATTAAATGTATTGTTCCCATCATGTTAACTAGAGTGAATCATGTTTCGTTAAAACAAAAACAATTGAACATGGCAAACTCATAATAACAACGTGGATGGAATGGAAAAACGGTAGTGCAACATTTCTAGAAGTATATAAAGGCAAAATATTGCCTTTCCACTATCACCCACATCCATGCATGATTGTTAACTCCTAGTCACAAAGAACTTTCAAATTGCTTGAAACATCAAATGCATTTTAATAGTTTTTTAGACTAGACCATGCTTGATGCCCTAACCAACTGCAAAGTATTCTAACCAAAACAATGAACATGATGCGAGTTACAAATATTGCACTACACCAGTAAAAAAGCATAATATTTACAAATTTTTCGCACTACTTACATAGGAGGACTTGCATGCAAAAACCTAGTAATTACAAATTCACAAGTGGGAAGTGGACATCTCTGATAGCCTGAAAAGCAAAAATTGGTTTGTGCCATGGCAAATTGGAGACATTGGAGTAAATATTATTCAGGTCAAAAGTTGCTCATCAACTTGAGGACAAATGCATCAGGAATACTCTGTGTAAGCATTTTGAACAGCACCCTCTGAAGAAAGTGTGGTAATTCACCACTGGTTTTGGCTAAAATGAAGTAAAAACTGTTAACCTGTACTTCAGGTTGCATTTATTGTATTCTTTACTATGAGGACAGAGAAAACAAACTTTGTCAACATCATCTTTACCAGGTTCATTCACCTTTATCTGAACCACAGGAGTCGACATCGCCTTTCCTAGAATGCACTAGCTACTTTCATATGGCAAACTCAGCAGCTGTTAGCAGGTTGTGCATCAACCACAGTGTAGGACAAAGGTGCCAACACAAATTCTCATGTTTAAAGACATCAATTGTGACTTAGTAGGTAATTGTGGGCAGCAGTGCGCTGCAGGGTTACCCACAATTACCACTCCATATGACCCATATAACCTCACGCCGCCCTACCAAAGAGTGTAGTAAAAGCAGAAAAGCTCAAAGCCTGGAAATAAGTGCCTTCCAGCCTTAGTAAATTTCTGATGCACATCTGGAAAAATGGAATAGGAGGAGGGAGCAGTTTGTATTGTGTCCAACTTTACGTAACCACCATCCAGTCTCAAGCTTATAAACAGGACGCATGGCCATCTCCAGCCTGATCGTGAAGGCCATCCAGGAAAGCAAAGACAATGCAGACACCTTGGAGGATGAAAGTGTGTGTGATTCAATGTCAGAAAGCAACAGCATGCCCTCCGTTGCAGTGATAGACACCGGATCCTTCATATCAAACAAGAGGATGGCCATGCTGCTTGATGGGATAGCAATCTTGTCTGAAACTAAGATGGGACGTGCTGTGAGTGAGTGAGTGAGTGAGTGAGTGAGAGAACTGTGAGGATTACCCAGCTGAACAGCTCTTACAGTAATCACCAGATCTACTCGCGGACTATCCACAGGGACTCCCACTGAGAGAGAGTGTATAGATATAACAGAAGTGGCTCACACCTGTATCAGCGTGAGCCATGATCTCAGCACAACCATAGACAGTACTGCTCCCGAACACCACCTCTACATACTAGAAGCCCAGATGTGTGATGCAGTGCTATCATCTGGAGGTAGGAAATTATTGCATTCAAAATTACATGGGTGGTATAACATCTTGATAAAGTAGTAAACCAGCTGTGATCTTTTCAACACAGACTCATTCTGAAAACGTAGTCCTATATCATACCTGACAACACTCCCGTTTTTCCTGGTAGTCTCCCGTATTTCAGACCCATCTCCCGTTTTGTTATTTCTCCCGGAAATCTCCTGTAATTTCACCCCGACGGTACTCGTTTTTTTTTTTTTTTACTACGGTCTTTGGTACAATATCCGATCGCAGCGGCTGCCCAAAACCCGGTGCATAGTACAGATCAGGCATCTGCACAGATAGGGCTCAAGCTTCACATGCCCTTTTTCTCTTGGATAAAAAGTGCCCTTCAAAATAGAACAGAAGAGCCCCGTCAGTTCACCACAACTGTCCCAACACCCCCCCGTCTCCCGGTTTTTCAGAGACAAATGTTGGCAGGTATGTCCTATACAAGTTTCTAGAGATCTCGATTTATGTAGCAAGAGCTATGTACAGTATGGCTGCATTTTGTAGTGTTTATAAAACGAACACTACGGGGCAGTATGACGTTGTTTCTTTTCTTGCTGACCACTTACCTCCGTATGGACAGCTTTTCCACTGCTACCAGCTTGTACAGTAGCTCGACACATATGTCGACAGACTTGAGATGCAGAGCAGAGTTAACCATGACAACGGGGTTCGAGTCGGGTGAAAAACGATTCCAGAAAGCGGGTAAGACAAACGCTAAAAAATAAAATAAACAAGTAAATAACAGGGTGAGAATGTGCATTTTAAAACACTATTGGTTGGGTTTAGGGAAGGCAGAGGGTGAGGGATCGGTCGGTTGGTCAGTCAGTAAGTCAGTCGACAGCAGCCTCTGGTGGGTTAACGCGAGTACACCAGGTGCAAATGACACTCACGGGAGAAATTTAGGATCTGAAAAAGTGTACACAGGTGAAAAAAGAAAAAAAAAACTAAGCTGCTGGGACATATTTTGCTCTCTCCTGAAATGTATATAGGGGTACGTAATCAGAATGAGCCTGGGTTGGCTTTTTTAGATTGAACTCCTGCACCATACTGTGAGGTGCTCAGGAACAGCACATTAACCCTGAGAATTCACCATTTCATGGACAGAATAGAAGTGGTTCCAGCGCACAAACCCTTTGTAGTGATCTGGCTTGCTCCAAATGAATATTGTGAATGAGTGACTGCACTGTAAAAACGCCAACTTTCAAAAAGTCCTCTGAACAAAGATTAATAAGTTAACTGAATTTAAATATTTTCATTTGAAATGCTGACAAATAATAGTTAGTTTGTTCAACAAATATGGTGCTTCAATGTGAAAAACTTAAAATATTTCGTTGAACTAATACAAAATTCTTAGTTTTGCGTTGATGCGTGCCCTTCTTGTTGGCGCATGCGCCTTATAAGCTTCTGGCGCATGCGCAATTTACTTCCATAGCTCACTGCAGGGGGTACCTGTCACGTGCGTGCGACAAAACGAACCATCTTTCTTTCTGCGGAGCTATGTGTCAATCGTTTTCATAATCGATTGTATATAATTGTATACATGTTTTTGTGCGATGTGCTACCCATCTGACTGCCCGATCTATTTTACCAGTGTATTAATGATGTGAGAGACCGTGATAGAGCGGTTAAGAGTAGTGGTGGGCAAAGCGAGGCTTCGTGAAACACTGAAACAGTCGAAGCAAATGTGTCGAAGCTTCGAAACGTTTCGAAACCTCACTCTACAGTGACATTTAGTGGTCATTTTTTATATATATTGCACTGAAACAGCTTCAGCAAAGAACGATTGAACAAATTGAGGGATTAAACCCCACTTTGTGACTGTGGAATATTTCAAGTAACATAGTACAGTGGTTAAGGTGTCAGACATCCATGCAGGAGTAGTAGGTTTCGAAGCCAGTCAGTAGCAGTTGTTTTAAAATGCTTTAATACCAGTTGGTAATGCTTTGCTCTTGTATCGTTTTGTTTCAACATTGGTCTGATATCCGAATAAACAATTTGTGAATAAATATGTCTTGTTTTTGTCTTAAAACAGGGTTGTTGCTAGATCAAAAACGGTTGCCTGAAGTTATCAAGAATTATTTATATTATTCATTCCCATTTATTGTATTTTATTAATGTCTACCCAAACCCTAAACCCAACCATACTGTAAAAATATTTATTATTGTTTTACAGTGTTACAAAAATGATGCTAAATTGATGGCGTAACTGTAGCTGTATCCTATTTAGGCTACACAAAACAGAAACATGATTAAAATACATAAAACCATGATTTCGAAGTCGGGATTCGAACCCAAAACATCATGCTAAGCATAGAATCAATAAGCAAACCCACAGTGCTCTAAGCCATTTGAGACAGAGATAATTTGGAGACCTTGGCAGTCAAATTAGGATTCACCAGGTCTCGAAACGTTTCTAAGCTGATCGATGCTTTGAATCGCTTTAGTCACGTGACTAGGTGTTTCGAAACACTTTAGTCACGTGACTTGGGTGCTTCGGATCATGCTTCGGTGCAGTGATTCGAAACACTTGCGCTTCGGGATCTCGACACTGTGTCAAAACATCAGTTTCACGTCAGCCATCCCTAGTTAAGAGCAGGCCAACGACGTTTCTGCTAAATCATAGGTATGTATGTCTTTTTTTGTTGTCATCTAACGTTATATTATTTGATATGTTGGCTTTGATGTGCGCGTGTATCCTAATACGGAACTATTTGTTATAATTTAGCCGTGAGTTATTTGTTTCGTGCACTTGGTTTTGGCTATTTACATCAATAAAAGTTTAGAGTGAATGTATTTGAAACAAATAGCGATTTCAATCGAGTCATTTGCTTTAATAACTCACGATTAATACAATGAGTATCATATAACATACCAGATCAGGTATCCAAGTCAAATATAACATTATGTCCTGTTTATCTAGATTGCTGTCAGCATTGCGCACATCATAACCTTTTTTCCCTTCGAACCAGAGCCAGTGGAACAAACGGTGACGTGTTTAACTGTGTAATTTGTGTGAAAATCGTGTGATTTTCATGTAATTAATTGCTTGATTTGTTAGCTCGACTAAATGTCTATCATATTCAGACCAACTTGCTTTAACAGTCAGCTAGCTTTTATTTACATAAAAAATATAAAGGGCTAAATATATATTTTTCTTTCTTTTTGCTCAAAAGGACTGAAATATTGACAATGACATAATTCAATGCAAGATTTCCTTGAGGAGGTGAGACTTGTTATCATCAGTGAAATTTGACGGTCATTCACCAGCAGATGCAAGAAACCTTTTCTCTTTGCCCAAAAGAAGTTGTTGAGATTTAGCCAGGAAGAAATTAGAGAGAGATAACCTGGACTTTAAGGAAGAGGTAAGTCACTATATTGCAATTGCTTTGGTTTCATTCAAGGTAATAATGATAATGCTAAAAATAACAAACAACATTATTATTATAGGTAATTCAAAATACATCTGTATTCAGCATTTGAACATTTAAATATTTACATTTACATATATATATATATATATATATATATATATATATATATATATATATATATATATATATATATATTATGTGTAAAAATTAATATGTATGTTTTTTTTGTATATTGTAGATCTGCACAGAGTTTTCTCAGATCTGTAATGTAGATCTCCTGAGACAGTTAATCGAGTGACTTGATAAATATACAGCACCTCTCCTGAAACTCTACAGAAAAGAAGGGATTCAATGGGTCCAGAGATGGATACAACTTTAAACAAGATGGATGAGCAGGTACTCATTAAGATTTTTTTTTTCTTATACACCCGTCTGATGTTTTTAACATGTGCAACATATTTTGTCCTGTCAAGAATTTCATGCTCAGGTAATACAGTCTAATAAAACGTAATTGCAACAATTTAATTGTCCAGCCCTTTTGCATTAATTTTAATTGTGTCAAGTTGTGTTTTGATTGTGAGATGGAAGTAAGATAAATAACAGATGTTTCACTTGTTTTGAGTGACCATTTCAAATGAATACATTCAAAGAGGAAAATAGAAATTAATAGCTGTAGTTTTTAACTCAAAGTAATTGTCACATGAAACTAAACATTTTTCTAAATTTGCCAACACAACCATTATCAAATTCCATTGTATGGAAACCACAAAATTCTTTTTTAAAAATAAAGCCATGTGTTTTTTCAACAGCATGAATAAAATACTATGCTCATTTAAATGTACTAAGTACATTTTTACTTACAAAACAATAAGATTGTAAAACACCCTTTGTAAATGACTTTCCTTTAGGTCACTGATATTGTCACCGATCGAGAAAGAGCAGCTCTTGAGGGATTGCCAATTTTTCTTCGTAAAAATTCTGCTTGCTTTCTCAAGATATGTCTGGTAAGTTACCCATTTTCATACCCTATTTTACATTTATTAGTCTGCTTGGTAACACTTTTAATAGCTGCACGCTATAAATAATTTATTTAGTATTAGCGAATAGTTAATTTATTTTCTGTTAAGCATAACTCTACATGAAGTGCTCAATGATTGTATTTTTTTAACTTTAATGATTCATTTGTATTACTAATTTAAGTATTGCATTATTTACAAACCAGTTATTTAAGAATAGTTGGTGTTTTTAAGATCATTCAGAATGCTTAAGTACACGATTAATAAACTATTCAAATTAACATTTAAATATCCTAATATTAAGGTATGTAATAATAGTTACTTTGTATGTTAGTATATGCTTTATGAGCTTAACTTCATCCAGTTGTGACCTAATCTAAAGTGAGGACTATTTATGCTTTATAAATCCCTTATGAATGACAATTAAAGGCTCAGTTATATTCTAAACAGGACAATAAACAACTTTCACAATTGAAACTGTATCAAATAAATTAAATCTTTGCAATTTTATGTAAAATAAAAGTTTAAAAAATTGCTAAATATTAAAAAGTTGTCAATATATTGTTCAATTATTATATATTATAGAC